TGTATAACCTTTCATATAATTTTATATTGCTTATATTTGCGATATTAGCTAAATCATAAATATATAGCTTTATATTATTATTTGACTTAGTTATATTATTAGGTAGGATGTAACATTCATATATTATTCAGTGCTCATGGTTTGAGTGTTAAGTAGCTGACAGCATTGTCTAACTACTGTGTTTTCTCTCCACTTGTTACGCTGCCGGCTTCTCTATGTTGCTGGGCAGCAGCAGTCCACGGAGAGTCACGTGATCAGGGGGGGTGATCACACTTCGCCTGGAGTAGTCTGTCTGGCCTGCGCTGGTCTCTTGTCAGTTGGACATGCTTCTAGCAAGAGGTCCCTCTACTCCTCTCCCTTGTGGGCCCTTGTTGGAAGATCGTCTCTGCTGCTTTCTTGTTGTTGGTTCTGTGGAACTCTGTTCACAGAACATGGCCTAGACTTAATGATTTTCAACGTTGTACTGAGATTGTGTGTCGCATAGACACTCTGAGAAACTCAGGTCCTGAGCTGTAGCTTCTGACCTAATTTGTACTGGTATCTGTGTACTGTCACAGTTGGGGATTTTCTAATGGTGAACTTAGATTCAGTAGTATGGGAGTTTTGTGACTTTTGTGGAGGATCTGCTGATGGTCCCTACTTAGTGTCGTTATATTATCTCCTTGTTCCTGATTGTGTCGCTGTTGCTTGTTATATTGCTGTTCTGCTTATCAGTCGTTTTATTGTTCAACCGAGCTGTTCTGATTGCCAGGTTGGTCAAGAAGTTAGTTTATGTGAGGACTTTGTCAGTCACTGGTTAAGTCTAGTCGAGTCTTGAGACATAGCGAACTACTTAGAGCACTTACACACACACACACAAACTTACTTGTATATATTTGTATTATGTTATTAAATGTTAACGATGTACCAGACGGTACTTAAAAGCCATTAAGATGTGATATGTGCCTTCAGCACATATCACATGAGAGAAGTGTAGGAACTTGTATCCTATATTATATTCAACTGATTACTATAATTTAATTTGATAATATATGCCTAGACAATTTTGTTATTAATAAACTTATTCAATTTTAATTTCTTTAGTTAGTAGCCTACCAAACCATACCATGGGCGGGGATAGAACCCACGATCAGAGAGTCTCAAAACTCCAGACCGTCGCGTTAGCCACTGGACCAGCTAGCCACAATAAGATTCGTCCAACTAGGTATATTTCTACACCATAGGAAGGTTAGCATAGGCACCACTGTGACCACAAATCTCCAGCTAGTGTGGCCATGACGAACTCTAGCTCAAGTCCCCTCAAAGCCGTTAACATGACTTAGTAGTTTTAGTAGCCTACCAGTTGTAATCCTGAAGCACTATTAAATCTTATTGAATTCTAATGGATAATTGGACCAGGATACTGACTAATTGTTACGAAAACCCAGTAACAGGTTGGATGCTAGAAGGGCAGTCCTTTCTAGTATTCACTGGAGATCTCTATGCTTATTAGAAATCGCGTTTTTTGTAACACCCCGCCTCATCACTGGTTGCTACTGTGTGTCTGTGGTGTGTGTTGTGGTGTGTGTGTGTGGTGTGTGTGTGTGTGGTGTGTGTGTGTGTGGTGTGTGGTGTGTGTGTGTGTGTGTGGTGTGTGGTGTGTGGTGTGTGGTGTGTGGTTGTACTCACCTAGTACTCACCTAGTTGAGGTTGCGGGGGTCGAGTCCGAGCTCCTGGCCCCGCCTCTTCACTGATCGCTACTAGGTCACTCTCCCTGAGCCGTGAGCTTTATCATACCTCTGCTTAAGGCTATGTATGGATC